GGATTCACAAATTTTTGCAAGGATTGATGGTTGTGTGGGTCTCTCCCAGTTTTGGCTGGCTGTATTACCCCGTCCAGGCGTCGGTACTAATTATGCTTCCTGTCACCACCCACCTCCCTATGACCGAACTCAGGGAGTCCTAAGAGCTGTTATTTACTTACTCACACACTGTCCTCTTCTGGAACAAATCATACATCCCCAACAACCACCGCCGACTTCCCCCTCGGTCGCGGTTGTACTTGGGACGGGCGATCATCGTCTCATCCATCTGGGCTTACATATTCGCAGCCTCCCTAAGCAACGCGTTCGAGCAAACATTTCTGCAAATCATGTACCTGGACACAGCCGAACCAAGAAACAGACTGCAGACTGAAGCGGCTTCCTTCACCGTCTTCTCGACGATAAACGCAAGGCACATGTTTGCCAGCTTCCTCAAGCTCAAACAGCTGTTGAGGAAGATGGACTTGGACCGCATTTGCTTCTTTCGCTTGCTGTTCAAGCGCCTAACCTCATACACATTGCCGTTTTCCGCCAGGTTTACCTGTGACATTCGGCCACCGCACACACATCTCAGTTCTGTGGATAGCAAATAATGGCTTCGACAGTAGGCCACCAGCTCATGTGCTTTGATTGTGTGCAGCAAGGGCGTAGGCTCCGCCAACGTCCGGGACCACTAGGACCTATTGTCAGGGTTGCTATTACTGTACTAGCCTACCTTACCTTAAAATAAAACACCCTTTTTCTACGGATGCGGGTCCAAAACAACACCCATGCACACCAGCGTGCACGATATGGGGATGTGTGCGCTGGTGCTTGCGTTTCTTGTTATGGTCTACTGCGATTTGCGCCGCAGAGAATTTGGTTGCCTATTCTGCTGCCGGAAGCCGAGTCCTGTAGTCTGCCATTGAAAAGAACCAGTTATTTTGACTGTATACTTTGCTCCTGCTCCACACATTTGCTCATCTTTTTCTGACGTTCCCTCCGATTATCGACCTACTGAGCTTTTCTACTGAGGTGCCCATTAATCACTTCCGTAAAACCTTCTTCTGATTTGCCCTCTTTTTACTCATTTGTGCTTACTAGGCTTTGACGACAAAAGAGAAACTCGCCTTTCAAGTGCCAGGCCTATCCTTCCTTTCGGGGCTAGACTTATTATCACAAATATGAATCTCTTCTTCCGATAGGCTTTCTATCGGTCACTCGGATTGATTCGTCGCCTGAAGTTCCATATTAGCGGGATATTTTTGATTAATCATTCACACACATAAGCGGATAAGAGTTGATGTAGAACTAAGCGTTTATTGGATCAGAACGCGTGAAACATGTATTAACCGGAACTCAAAAGGTTCCAGTGGTTATTGGCCTTCTCCAGTTCTGCCTTCAATTTCTTCTGGTTGCAGGTACTCCCGAGCACCTTCTTGAGTCGCGTCGAAGATGGTTAATAAGACCTGTGCTGGGGCCATGTGTTTACAGGGTTGTTTTTGCTTTACTTGCTAGGCTCTGATGCGGAACTAAGTCAGAGAAGTGATTTCTAGGTAAAGTCTCGAGGCCAGGCATTTACAGAATTATGGATACAACAACAGTCCGTAAGGTTTTATTTTGTACAAATAAACTACTCCCAGTTACTTTTCTCTGATAGACTAGGTTCCGCCTCGAAAGCCTAGCCACCAGATCCGCCGTATGGACAAGAGTGGAAGGGATCAACTGCGAGACTAATGTCTGAGATTTTGGTAGGCGGCTCAATCCAAACCAGTTTCTGGACGATAAATACTGGGAAATAGTTCACTTATACAATTTTTAAACTATTTAAATTACATTAAAAACGCACCTGTGTTATCCATTCTGCAAACAATTCGCAAAAGAAATAGTCCGTTAGGTTATAACTGAAAGACGAACGACTCCTTGGACTGGGTTATCGCGTCGTCTATTCCCATCTAGTTCACCCTTTGGGATGGGGTTAAAAGAGTTTGCATTTGGATAGAATCATTACCAAAAAACTTGAAGGTTCTGAGGAATTGAGCCCCAAAATCAGTAGATTCAAAAATGAAATTTTTACTTCAGTATGGTGTATTGGGGTATTTCAATTAAGCCGAGACAGAAAAAGAAGTTGAAAAGTTGGAAATCGAAGCAGAGACATGGAAGGTGCAAAAATGTATTATTATTAGTTTTCGCAAACAAGATAAATGCTCAATTAACATAAGTTGGTACAGTTTTAAAATTGAGGCAGTAGTTAACTGGAGATAACCGTATTGTCAATTTTATGCAAATTATATCTTTTCGTTTGACTTCGTTAAGTTTTGCAAAATAACAAACTGCTTTTTCAACTTAACTCAGTTAGCTTAAAAAAAACATTTATTCATCAAAATTGTACATTCCAAGTCTAGTCTACACAGGTAAATTTTTGCCTGAAAAGTCTTCCTACATTATAAATTGATCGGGGAATATCTGTTACATTGAAGATCCTGACCCCGCCCGAATAAGAACGAACTGAATTCTAATTGGCAAACGTATCAAATCCAGCCAGAATTGCGTTTTGAAAGATGTCGGTACGTGAGTGTAGCCATGATTAATTCCGTACGTAGGAACCACCATCACCTGCTGAACCAAGACGCAATGATGGAGATTCTGACTCTGAAGCGCAACCATTTGAAGATGAGTCTGCTGCATTGTTGGGTGACTATAGCGAGGTCCAGGAAGAAACCGAAGGCGAAGACCTGTTTCGTGACGACATGGAGCGCGATTACCGGTAATTCATGTTTTTGTTACTTGAATTTCACAGCTCAATACCGGAGCTCGATATCTATGAACCAGAAGGCTTAGCAGATGATGATGATGATGTTTCCAGCCTGTCTCCCACTGCGCGGGCTGAAGCCGAACGCCAAATGCGACAGCGCGATCGCGCAGAACTACTTGCCACAGGGGGGCTGAGACGAGATATCGTTGCAGGTTTAAACGCTCTGGTTTACTGAATTTTGTAGACTTATATGGTGAAGAGGAGGAAGAAGAGGTCGTACCTGCAAGACGACGGCGATTAGCTGAACGCGTGGCCGCTGGGACTGAAGCGGAATTATCAGATTACGCCGAGGCTCTCGAAAGCATAGAAAATCTCGAAGATATGAAAGGAATGTCAGTTAGTGAATGGGTTCAGCAGCCAGCAACACGACAAGAAATTAAAAATCGCTTCAAAGTCTTTTTAAGGACCTTTTTGAACGAAAATGACGTTAATGTCTACGCTGAGCGCATTGTTCAAATGGCCAGAGAGAACAAACAGAGCC